CAGGTCTTACTATTATGCCATAGAAAAAAATCTGAAAAGAGTCAAAAAACAGCGTCATTAGATTCCTTGTTATCGACATTGTGAAAACACCTTTATCGGCTATTACGAACTTGTCTTGATCGACATGATCGAAACTGCATGTATCGACCTGTTCGAAACTGTATTTATCGACTTCAATAACAGCGTCGTCGTGCAGGCTGAATTGTCCGACAGTGGGACCAAAAATATTTTCCCCTTCCGATTTTTGCATTAAAATCACTCCTAGCAGAATTTTTTATGTCATGGCCAGGGCAGCGGTCATATGCAGTTTCTAGGCGCTCGTAAAAAATATCTTTGGTCTGTTCATCTTTGTCTTCGGTCGGATCGTGGGCGCAAATAAGACTGATGTAGAAGAACTTCGCTTTTATACGGATTATAGCTGTTCGCTCATCTACTGGAGTGAATCTGGAGACGAGGTCTTTCATTCTCCTGTTAACCATAAATCCGCAGCCAAATTCACGTCTCATTTCATGGCAGCTTCATGGCAGGGTGTAATCATCTGATTTACTCTTACGCCAGTTCCTTTCCATCGCATTTCCTGTAAGGCAATAATTTAGGCTTTGTACTTCTCGAGTACATCCGCCAAGGCGAAAACTGTGCCTGTTAAAAGGACCACGATCAGCGAATCTGCACTTGCAATGTACGCACGTTATACAGGCACATTGCAAGTGCAGATTCGCAGATCGTGGTCCTTTATACGTTTGCGGGGGTCGTCAACATTGGGGGGGTTCGGTTTTCTTTTTCGTTGCTTTTCCATAATAAGAGGGTGGGCAACTAAACCGACGCCTCAACCCATTCTTTATAGTTCTTATAGGTGAACTCCCGGTATATATAAGCTCACTATTTCATCGGGTGATGAAAATAGCTACCCCAGGTGGTACCACGGGGAGGTCAGTGTCCACAATTGAGATGAAAGAGGGACCAAGATAAGCCTGGACTTGGTTTCGAAAAAAATAACTTTAAATGCAAATACGCCAAAAATCGTGTTGTTATCCTTAAACCCCCTCCTTATTATTTTTTAGTATATAAAATTTTTTATAAATTTAAAAAAAATGTTTCTTGTTAAATAATTTGAAAATAATAAGAAGAAGAAGAACACAAATACTTATGCTCGTTGTCTTGTCTCTCTTTTTTATGTCTTTTCTTCACACAAAACAACAACAACAACTACAAAATAAAACGCCAATGAAAAAATTATTAAAAAAACACACACACAACAAAACCTCAACAAAATTACAACAACAAAAATATACACGTATTTGCTATATGTGTGTGTATATGTATGCGTGTGTGTTTGTCTATTGCTAAAAATTCGTTATCAAAAAAATCCCAATTTTTTATAAATACAACCAAATTCTATCATCTCCCTTTCCCCACGAATCATCAACATTTCCCCTCCAACCAATTGGCAACCCTGTCTGTGTGCGTGTGGCAACACCCCAAAGAAGTTACCTGCCAAATTAACATTAACCGAGGATTCCCGTATATTAACAACCACCGCTGCCGCACCCACACCCTCGCCCTCCCCATCACCATCATCGGGTCCACCATCTGCACGTAGTACCCGTGCTAGCAAATGGGGTCGCCTTTTGGGTAGTTCAAGTGTCGATTCGGCTAGCGATACCAGCGCCAAGGTAGCAGTTTCGAGAAGTTTGAGTGCCCGCGAAAGTCTGCGTGAAAGCACTGCCGCTCAGGCGAGGCAGAGTAGTACTTCGAGTAGCAATGGTGGACAAGGCAATAAAGTAATTGACCAAAACTACTACAACAACAACAAAACACATTTTTTTCTTATTCAGTAATTTTTTTTAAGTTCGGAATTTTTTGTTGCATTAAATTTTAGTTTTGAATTATTTCCTTATATATAAAAAATATCAAGGCTCGAGGCCTCACTTTTTCTATAAAAAAAAATCTGAAAAGTCTTCAGAAATTTCATTGTGTTACCTCAAAAGCGTCATTAGGTTCCTTGTTATCGACTACCTTGATATTCTTATCGACGCTTGTGGAAACACCCTTATCGGCTAATACGCCCTTATCGGCTTTATCGACATGATCGAAACTTTCTATAGAAAAAAGTTATCAAGGCCCCAGGTCTCAATTTCTTCTTTAAAAAAATCTCAAGACACCAGGTCTCATTTTGTCTATAAAAAAATCTGAAAAGCCTCCAAAAATATCATTGTTTACCTCAAAAGCGTCATTAGGTTCCTTGTTATCGACTACCTTGATATTGTTATCAACGCTTGTGGAAACATCCTTATCGGCTAATACGAACTCGTCTTTATCTACATGATCGAAACTGCATTTATCGACCTGTTCGAAGCTGCATTTACCGACTTCAATAGCAAAAAAATTCGTGAGACCCCAGGTCTCAATTTTTTCTATAAGAAAAAATTCGCAAGACCCCAGGTCTCATTTTTCTTCTATAGAAAAAAATTCGCAAGACCCAAGGTCTCAATTTTTTTCTATAGAAAAAAATTCGCAAGACCCCAGGTCTCAATTTTTTTCTATAGGAAAAAATTCGCAAGACCCCAGGTCTCAATTTTTTTCTATAGGAAAAAATTCGCAAGACCCCAGGTCTCAATTTTTTTCTATAGGAAAAAAATCGCAAGACCCCAGGTCTCAATTTTTTTCTATAGAAAAAAAATTCGCAAGACCCCAGGTCTCAATTTTTTTCTATAGGAAAAAATTCGCAAGACCCCAGGTCTCAATTTTTTTCTATAGAAAAAAATTCGCAAGACCCCAGGTCTCAATTTTTTTCTATAGAAAAAAATTCGCAAGACCCCAGGTCTCAATTTTTTTCTATAGAAAAAAATTCGCAAGACCCCAGGTCTCAATTTTTTTCCTATAGAAACAAATTCGTGAGACATCAGGTCTCAATTTTTTCCTATAGAAAAAAATTCGTGAGACCTCAGGTCTCAATTTTTTCCTATAGAAAAAAAATCGTGTGACCACAGGTCTCAATTTTTTCCTATAGAAAAAAATTCGCTGGGTCCGTAGGACGATTTTTTTTCTATAGAAAAAAATTCGCAAGACCGTTGGTCAAGTTTTTTCTATAGAAAAAAATTCGCAAGACCGTTGGTCAAGTTTTTTCTATAGAAAAAAATTCGCAAGACCCCAGGTCTCAATTTTTTTCTATAGAAAAAAATTCGCAAGACCCCAGGTCTCAATTTTTTTCTATAGAAAAAAATTCGCAAGACCCCAGGTCTCAATTTTTTTCTATAGAAAAAAATTCGCAAGACCCCAGGTCTCAATTTTTTTCTATAGAAAAAAATTCGCAAGACCCCAGGTCTCAATTTTTTTTCTATAGAAAAAAATTCGCAAGACCCCAGGTCTCAATTTTTTCAATAGAAAAAAATTCGTGAGACCTCAGGTCTAATTTGTTTCTATAGAAAAAATCGTGAGACCAAAGGACTCATTATTTGCTATAGAAAAAATTCTGAAGGCTCCAGGTCTCACTATTTTGCTATACAAAATCTGAAAAGCCTCAAAAAACAGCGTCATTACATTCCTCGTTATCGACTACATTAATATCGTTGTTATCGACATGATCGGAACTGCATTTATCGACATATTTGATAGAAAATTTATCGACATGTTTGAAACTGCATTTATCGACTTCAATAACAGCGTCTTAACGACAAGAAATATAAATTTTTTCTGTAGCAAAAATTCTTTTCAAACCCTCTTCGAGGTTATCGGGGCCACATTCCATTTCTTTTCTCTAGAATAAAATGACGAACACTTATTTCTCCATTTTTCGCATTGAAAAATAATCTCTTGGATTTATTTCTTATTATTTTAACAAGGTATTACAAATGGCGCCCAACGTAAAATATATTGTTTTTAATAATTTTTAATATTATTTTTTAAGCTAAATTTATGTTTTATTATATTTGTTTAATATCAATCGATTAAAATATATTTTTTTCAATATTTTTTTCAATACTACATAACCTAACATTTATCTCTGCAAAAAGAAAAAAATAAATCAAACACATTTTTTAAAATATTTTCCTTGTTACTTCTTTTCCCTGCCTGCCCTACGCACAAATTGGATTTTTTTCTCCCTAAACTCACAACAAAAAAATAAAAATAATTCTATTTAAAAAAAATGTTTATAAACTGCTGTAAAAAATTGTACAAAAAAAAACTCTGGAATGACACTTGAATGAATGCGCCTAAAAAATGGTTTGAAATCACACTACACATCAAACAACAACTCTGTGTGTGAATGCCTTTTGAACGCAAATCTACGGCAACTCTGAAACTCAATACCATCAACATGAAATTAATGTGAACGTGTGGGAAACCAACAACAATGAAATTAAAACAAATGCAACTCTGTGGCTGTCTCTGTCTATCCTCCCTACATCTCAATATCTCTCAACTGTGTAACTCTCTTTCTGTCTCTATATATTTTTATCTCTCTTGAACAACCTCTAATTTTCCTTATACTCTCTTTTCAATTTTATAATTTCCTCTCCTTACCTCTTTCCCATGCTCCATATACTTTTTTCATTTATCTCTTTCTCCCTTATTCCTGGTACACTTCTCCGGTGTCCATTTTTTCTGCCTTCTTTGCTTTCTCTCTCTCTTTTTGCTTCTCATTTCCAGGTATTCCCTAAGGCACCCAAACTGCAGGCGAGCCAAGCCACATTGGCCCGCCAGGACACCATCGATGAGGGCGGCGAAGTCGACTCATCACCGCCCAGCCGTGACAGCCGCGTCATCATCGAGGGCAGCAGCGCTCCCACCACCACAACAACAATCAGCCTGGCCGCTATCACGGCTAAAGACCGCAATCTGGCGTTGGAACGTGAACGACAAATCGAAATGGCTTCATCGCGTGCCACCACCTCGGATACCTATGATACAGGTCTGCGAGAACAGCCTCCCACGTTGGCGCAACGTGATCTGATTGCCACCGTTTTGGATCTGAAAGTTGATGTACGCCTCGAATTACAGCGCATGCAACAGCGTATTGGTCGCATTGAGGACATGCTGGGGGAATTGGTGAAACGTTTGCAACAGCATGATTCCTCCGGCCAGACAACGCCTGCTGATGATAACGTGTGTGTATGCGGTAGTTCGACGGCAACCACAGCGGCCAGTGGCAGCAGCTCAGGGGGCTTAGTTGGTAGACGCCCTGAAGGTGGGGCGACACATTCCACCGCCACAACGCCAGCCGCCGATACGGTCATAACAATATCCACAGTTCCGCCGCCGCCGTCTTCGTCGTCCACCGCAACGGGCATCATCGGTGCGGCTGGCATCGTTGCCGGTAGTGGATTGGTGGTTGCGGGCGCCCCCTCCGCTTCGACAACAGCAGGTGCAGCTGCAACAGTAGTGATGCCAACTACCGTTGCAGCAACTAGCTCATCCAACCTGCTGCAGCCGGTACAAATGGTTACCACAACGGGTGGCAATGGTCTCGGACCCTTGATGCTTAAAAAGCGGCGTTCGAAGAGCAGAAAAGCACCGGCGCCTCCCAAGCAGACCCATTCGCAAGCCGCTGCCGCTAGTGCCGTTGTCCAGAGTCCTGAACAGCAGCGATTACTCGAAGAAGAGTTGCCCACAATGCAGCAGCAACTGCCGGCGGCACCATCAACGGTGGCCACCACTGTTGTCGCCACAGCCTCAGGCAGTGCCGGCCAAGCTGGCACAACCACAGCCACCACCACAACCGGTGGTGGCCCAGCCAGCGGCTCAGCAGGTGTTGGTGGCCGTTCGAAACGTGAATTTCTCTAGCCCAAGATTTTAGTACGCCATCAGTCGGATAATAGCAGTTTTGAGCAATAATAATAAAACATCGCAATGTAAGTCAAAGAAAAATGAATCCTCTGAAAAAAGCTTCGGGATTCAATCTCAAAATGCAATGAGTATAGACTTAATCAAAAAGCTTTTTTTCTATATCTAAAACAAACAAAAACAATATTTCTAAACTAGCTTTAAAGCTGTTGGCGTGCTATAGATCTTAAAACAAAATTTTAAGTTTTGGTTCGGAAAAAAAATGTAAAAAATCGAAGTTTTTTTAATTATAGAAATTAAAAAAAAAATGGTTTATTAGGTCCAATGGCATTAGAGGAGTGGGTATCTGAGTGAAAGGATCTCAAATTAAATAAAAATATTTTTGAAATAACCAATGGCGTCATTATGAACACCTTTATCGACTATGGTCATATCATTTTTACCGACAATTTTTCCAACCGCTATTATCGACCAATTCAAACACTTATTTATCTCTAACATTGAAACCGCTTTTAGCGACAATAAAATCGGTTTAATCGACAGTGAATCATTATTTTCTATAGAAAAAATGTGGAGGCCTTTTTCGATAGAAAAAATCGTCGGTCTCAGTGAAGCATTTTTTCAATAAAAAAATCTGAGGTCTCAGTGAGTCATTTTTTCCTATAGAAAAAAATGATAGCCTCGGAGAGACCTTTTTTCCTGTGGAAAAAAAATCGAAGGTCTCAGTGATGTCTTTTCGGGGGCTTCAGTGAGAGCTGTTTTCTATAGAAAAAAATTCAGAGACCTAAGCGAGGCCTTTTTTCTATAGAAAAAATGCAGAGGCTTAATTTAGACCTTTTTCTACAGAAAAAATTAAGAGTGAGGCTTTTGTTCAATAGAAAAAAATCGAAGGTCAAAGTGAGGCCTTTTTGCTATAGAAAAATAAATTCGGAGGCTTCAGTGAGTCCTTTTTCTATCGAAAACGACCTGAGCGAGGCTTTTTTATATAAAAAATAGAAGGTCTGGTATAGCATTTTTTCTATAGAAAAAAGTTAGGGAGCCCCAGTGAGGCCTTTGTTCAATAGAAAAAAATCGGAGGCCTCAGTGAGGCATTTTTCTGAAGAAAAAATACGGAGCATCACTGAGTTTTTTTTTTTTTTTTTGTTTTTGCTACAGCAATTTGGAAGCCTTAATGAGACTTTTTCTATATCAAATAGGATCCTGAGGGTCTGTGAATTTTTTTCTTAGAATAACAGATAGTTTCATCTATCTATAGAAAAAAAATCTCAGCCTCGGTTAGGACTTTTCCTCAAGAAAAAAGTTCGGAGACATCAGAGGGGTCTTTTTTCTATAGAAAAAAATCGAAGCCCTCAGTGTGGCTTTTTTCTACAGAAACAAATTAAGAGTCTCCAGTGATGCTTTTGATCAATAGAAAATAAAAAATCGAAAGCCTCAGTGAGACATTTTTTTCTGAAGAAAAAATACGCATCCGTTAGGCTTTTGTCTATATTAAATAGGATCCTGAGGGTCTGTAAATGGTTTATAGTTTCTTCTGTAGAGAGAATCCTCGGTGAGCACTTTTTCATACAGAAAAAAATTGAGGCCTCAGTGATACCACTTTTTCCTACTGAAAAAAATTCCGAGAGGCTTTTTTATTTTAAAAAATCGAAAGCCTCAGTGAGGAATTTTTTTCTACTGAAAAAAATTGTAGGCATCAGTAATGCTTTTTTCTTACTGAAAAAAAAATCCGAGACTTCAGTAAGGCTCCTATCTCAGAGTCCCATGTTATTCCTACTTCCTGTGGCGTCATCAAGAACGCCCTTATCGACCATTTTATGGTAATTATTACCGACGACTTTTCAAATACCTATTATCGACCAAATTAAACAGAGTCCCATTTAATACCTACTCCAGTAGAGTCATCACGAATTACCGACGACTTTTCAAATATCTATTTTTCTATAAAAAAACACAGGCTGCCATTTTTTTTACAGAAAAATATAGGACACTGAGGGTCTGCATATTTTTGAGGGTATGCGCATTTTTTTCTATATTTTCTGCTTGTAAATGATGAAGATGGTAGTTCACTTTTAAAATTTATTAAATTAGCCTTGCTGATTGTTTCCCCGCATGCCTCTAATGCCCCAAGGCCTTTGGAAAAACAAAACATTTTTTGAAAAAAAAATATTTTTTTTAAATTTTTTTTTGAAAAAAAAAATATTTTTTAAAAAAAGAAATTTTTTTGAAAAAAAATATTTGAAAAAAATATAAAATTGGATTATTTTAAAAAAATATGTTTTTTTGTTTTGAAAAAAAAATAATTTTTTTTTATTTTTTAATAATATTAAAAATAAAAACAAAGCATATTGCTTATGAATTTTTGCTAATAATTTAGTATATGAAAAATTAATAAATAAAATACAAACAAACCCGCCCTATGAAATTTGCAAATATTACAAAAACAAAAAAATATCCAAATTAAAAAAATCCTAGCCTTAAGTGCAGAAAAAAGAATTAAAACAAAAATTAGAAAAAAATAATTTTTAATATGTTTTATTTAGAAAAATATTTTTTAATTTAAAAAAAAAAATTATTTAAAAAAAAATATTTATTTTTTATTTAAAAGAAATATTTTTTTAATTAAAAAAAAAATAAAAAAAATTTTTTAATTTAAAAAAAATATTTTATTAATTTTCTTCTAATTTTTTTATTTAAAAAAATATTTTTTTTAATTAAAAAAATTAGAAAAAGATTTTAATTACTTTTTTAATACTTTTTTTATTTATAAAAAGAATATATTTTTAATTTAAAAAAAATATTTTTTTTAAATTAAAAAAATATTTTTTTTTAATAAAAATTTATTCTTTTTATAAATAAAAAAAGTATTAAAATTTATTTTTTTTTTAATTAAAGAAAATACTTTTTTAAATAAAAAAATTAGAAAAAAATTAATAAAATATTTTTTTAAATTAAAAAAATATTTTTTTAAATTAAAAAAAAATAATCGCATACCAAAAAAATAATTTTTTTAAATTAAAAAAGTTATTTTTTTAATTAAAAAAATTATTTTTTTATTAAAATTATTTTTTTTATTAAAAAAAATTATTTTTTTTTATTAAAAAAAATTTTTTTTTTTTATTAAAAAAAATTATTTTTTTAATTAAAAAAAATTATTTTTTTTATTTAAAAATATTATTTTTTTAATTTAAAAAAAATATTTTTTTAATTTAAAAAAATTATTTTTTTAATTTAAAAAAAATATATTTTTTTTATTTAGAAGAATATTTTTTTAATTAAAACAAATATTTTTTTTATTTATAAAAATGTTTTTTTAATTAAAAAAAATAATTTTTTTATTTAAAAAATATTTTTTTTAATTTATTCCCCTCAAAAAAATTATGTGTGATATAAATATAAATAATTAAAAAAATATATATTTTTAATTATTAATTTTTTTATTTAAAAACAAATGCTTTGTTTTTGTAGGACGGCTTACAAAAGAGAAAATAATAACCAAATAAACAAACTACAAACTCCGCCCTCCCTTCTCTATATACATAAAAAAATAATAACAATAAAAATAAAACTTGCATAAAATCAAAAAAAAAAAAACTAAACTACTGTCTATAGACCAGGCCCTGAATAAGCATATACATATATAAAAAAATATATGGGAATTTTTTTTGTCATATTTAAAAACAAAAAACCAACAACAACACTTTTTGCTAAAAATATTTTTGTCAAAAGAAAAAAAGAAATATATAAAAAAATAATAATAAACTGCCATTGAAAGAAAAAAAATAATTTCAAAATAAATATTTGAAAAAAAAATTAGAAAAAAATACAAAAAACTATCTTTCAAAAAAAAATATTACACAGAAAATAAAAACTTTTGTTTGCGGCCCGTCCTTTTTTCATTACAAAAATACCAAATAATAAAAAAAACCACATTAATAAAAATAAATTGAATACAAAAAAATTAACAACAACAAGCAATATAAATACCTATAAAAATAAAATTAAAAAAATACAAAATAAAAAACAAAAAATAATTTAAGTAATTAAGTTAAAAAAGTTATTAATTAAAAGAAAATGTTACTGTTATGTTGGAAAAAAATTCAAACACAAACAAAAATAGACCTTAAACAAGAACAACAATAACAACAACTATTTTACAATAGAAACCAAACCAAAACTGAAAAACCACTCCCTCTAACCCCCCACAACAAACATCCAAAATGAAATGACAATCGTGTGTTGAAACTCACATAGCAAGAAAAATTACAAATTACAAAAAAAAATACTGCAACAACAACAAAAATACTCTATTTATTTTTGCAAAAAAAAATTATTTTAGCTTAGTTGACTTTTTTCAAAATAGTTAAGTTAAGTTTAGAAAATGAAAAAAAAAAAATAAATTAATTACTAATTTCAATTTATTTGTTAACACAAATAAATAAAAAAAAAATAAAATTAAATTTAAAAAATTAGGCAGCACTAGGTTCGAGCTTAATTTTAAAATATTTATTACATAAATATTTTTATTTGTAATTTTTTTTTTAACTTCTATAAGGCAAAAATAATTTTTTTTATTTTTATTTTTTTTTTTTTGTAAAAAAATATTATTTAATAGCATATTAGCAAAAATATATTATGTAAAATGCAAAAAAACACTACAAAAAGGTTTCATTATAATTAAGCAGATTTAAGATTAGCAGCGTACTTATCTTAATTTAATTTTTCACAGTGTAATATTATACACAAAAATATCTACAAAAAAAATAGATTTCAAATTTTTATCCTCTCACAGAGTTTCTTATATTAAAAAAAAATGTCTCACAGAGGTTCTCATTTTTTTAATGTCTCACAGAGTTTTTTTAATCACCGATGATCAGTTTCTATTTTTTTTAAGAAAAAATTCGAATTTTTTACAGAAACGATAGGACCTTGTTTTGATAAAAATTTCTCTGCAAACTCGGGCTGCTATTTTTTTTTTCTACAGAAAAAATCCCATTTACTCC